AGAGAGAATACGTGAGCATCAGAGAAAACAAGAGAGTAAGACAGCATAAGAGAGAGTGAGAGCACGAGAGAGAATGACAGAGCATGAGAGAGAATAAGAGAGAGTACAAAAGCGCCAAAGAGAGTAAGAGAGTGTGAGAAAGGGTAAGACATAATAAGAGAGTGGGAGGAAGCATGAGATTGCATAAGAAGACATAACAGAGAATTAGAGTGTGAGAGAGAGTAAGAGAGTGAGTGTAAAAGAGAATAAGAGAGCGTAAGAGAATAAGAGAGCATGAGTGTGAGAGAACGTAAGAGAATAAGAGAGCATGAGTGTGAGAGAACGTAAGAGAATAAAAGCATAAGAGAGAATGAGAGAGCATAAGAGAGAGTGAGAGAGTAAGAGAGAGAGCGTAAGAGAGAGTGAGAGAGAGAGTGAGAGAGAGCGTGAGAGAGAGAGAGAGCGTAAGAGAGAGTGAGAGAGAGCGTGAGAGAGAGCGTAAGAGAGTGTAAGCAGCAAGCATGCTGCACAAAAAGCCCCTTTAAGGGATCCACCAAATCCTTAACTGACAGCACAACCAAGACCACCACTGCTCCCCTATGGGGGGGGGGGGGGTACAGTATAGACAGAGACCCCCCAGGGCCGCAGGTGTAATTAAACAGCGGGAACCTTCAGAGCCACCCCGGTCCTGGAGCCACAAAAGGCCAGACATGCAATAACAGCACAAGCTGCCAACAAAGCGGCCCTTTCAGCTGGCGCTTAGTGACATTCAGAGTCAAAGATGTCCCAAAGGGCGAGGACGATCGCGCCGCTCCGCTCACACACGCCATATCACTGCTACGCCTTGCTCGTCAGCTTTGGGCCAGGCGCCAAAGGTCGGTGCCATGCCGCCCGCCATGACATCACAGCCAGGTGTTCCAGAAAACATCGCTCACTGCGGTCGCTCTTTTACTAAAACAAAAACACTGGTACATTTACAGCGAAACTCAGCAGCTCCATTTAGCAATCATGTGCCCAGATGAATCACGCGGCATGAAAAAGCAGAAGCAACACTCTTTAAAAATAATAATCTGTGTAATAACTCCACTTACAGAAATACACAGGGCTCTGGGGTGAGGATGGCCCCACCAGTGACAAAGGCGGCCCTATTTACTGCCCGGCGCTGACAGTGACTCTCGGGCCGGCGGTAATGTGCAGTACTCTCCAAGGCGTAATCGCGGGTCGCCTGTTCCATTACCAGGCCGATCTGGCGCGATGCTGAGGGCTTTCCGATGACAGGATGACAGAGACAGCCTTTCTGCTTTCATTAACTGTTAAATGGCAGCTCCTCGGATGAGTAATAACCAGCCTCTGCATCTCCCTCACAAGTAACCAAAAACATTCATGAAGGAGGCCTGTGTTTGTCTTTTTTCATTTCAAAGAGTAAATCTCTCCGAGCAGCTGAATTTACAGCCGGCGGCCACCTCGCTCCCAGGGAATCGCCAGCGGACTCCTGCTACTTTGGCTGCGATTTACAGCCAGCAGAGGCGCACGCTGCCCGCAGCCACGCCAGCAATTGCGTTTCTGGAAAGTAAACAGGGATATTTTGTTACTCCGCACTGTGTGAAGTGCTGACAGGTGATGGGCAGCCCAGTCACTCCCAACTGACAAAGAACAACTTCATTAAGCACATCCTCCTTCTCCTCCTCCTCCCACAGGAGCGCCACCTCATCCCACATCGCCACCACCTCCTCATCAGGCACGTCCTCCTCCTCCATCTGAACCAGCATGGCCTCATCCTGCACTACTGCCTCCCACAGCACCGCCGCCTCCTTCTGTAACACTGCTGCCGCTGCCTCCCACACCACTGCCGCTGCTTCCTCCCATAACACTGCCTCCTCATCAGGCACATCCTCCTCCTCCTGCACTGCCGCTCTCACACTCCCTCCTTCTCCCGCACCAGCACAGCCTCATCCCGTAACATCGCCTCCTGCACTGCAGGCTTCTTCTGCATCGGCACAGCCTCATCCCGCATTGCCGCCTCCCACAGCGCCACCTCCTTCACCGCCTCCTCCTCTTCCCACACCGCCGCTTGATCAGGCATGTACTCCTCATCCCGCACCACTGCCTTCTCCCGTACCACCACCACATCCTCATCCCGCACCACTGCCTTCTCCCGTACCACCACCACATCCTCATCCTGCACCACTGCCTTCTCCCGCACCACCACCACATCCTCATCCCGCACCACTGCCTCCTCCCGTACCACCACCACATCCTCATCCCGCACCCCTGTCTCATCCCGTACCA